GCACCGGGAAAGCAGACTGGAGGCGGAGGCTGCTCCGAAAGGCGTTTTTATAAAAAGCTGCTCGGTTCGCTCGGTACCCATAAAACGATACAACTCTGCAAGTGTAGAAATGTAATAAATTAGACACAAGGCTCCTAGCCCCGCCCTTGCCGCTGCCCCCCAGCTAAAGAGCAGGGGGGGAATCTCCCAACACCCCAAAAATAGACTCTCACACCCCCCAACCAGAGCCCCCCTGGGCCCGCTTTGGTATAAAAGGCCCAGGTGTCCGGGCCCCCCCCCCCAGCCCCTTCTGCAGCCCCCAGGCCCTCGGAGAAGGAAGCGGCGCCGGGCGGGTTGTGCAAGAGCCCGGCCGGGGGGGCCAGGTCCCAGGGGAAGCAGGAAGGCGCCGGGGTGGGGGGTGACACACATGGGACCTCTTCCCCTTTTGCAGCCAGCGTGACCCCAGCCCCAGCGCCCGAATCCTGCCCTGCGCAGCGGGGAAGCTTTTTCTTCCTTTTTCTTGCTGCTTTTTTTTCCCTGTTTGTTTCTGTTTTATCTATACATATATTTATATATATATAAAAAAAAAAAAAAGAAAAAAAAAGAAAAGAGAAGACACGTGAGTGGTGGCGGGGGGCTGTCCGGAGCCCCCCGCGTGGCTCTGCCGCGATACATTCGTGTGGGGTCAATACTGAGAAACGAGCGTCCTCGGGCGGCAGCTCCGGTGCCCAAAGCGCCAGTTTTGGCTGCACGGTGCAAGGCCGGACGTCTCCGTCCCTCTATGGGGGGTCCCAGGACCCCCCCCCCACCCAGTGCCACCTTCACACCGCGAGGGTCCCGTGGGCGGGGGGGCTGCGGGCGGCACCCTCGGCTCCCCCTTTCCTGCGGCGCAGGGTGTCGATCCAGGCGGCGCCGGGGCGCATATTCCTGCCGGAGGTGATGAGCTCGCCGAAGCCCTCCTGGTGCGCGAAGGCGTAGCCGGAGCGGCGCCCGCCGCCGCGCCGCCCGCCCGCCCGCTGCCCCTTGGGCTTCTTGCGCACCAGCTGCGTGTAGCGCACCTGCAGCGGGGACAGCGGCCGCCGCCGTCGCCACCGGTCACCCCCGATGGCTCCCGAAGCGCCCCCTGAAT